AAAACGAGGTAAACCCTCAGTGAGATGGATTGACACAACAGTCACAACAATGGGCTCCAACATACCAATGATCATGAAGATGGCACAGGACCAGGCAATTCAGACCTTGCATTCTGTTATTCATAAAGTTGAAATGAGTCAGAGCTGACCTGACAGCAACTAACAGAACCCAACATTCACCCTAGAGGAGGGGAAGGCTGAGATAGTTACAGTCCAATAGATGAGAGGGCTGCAGTGGTAGCAATGATAGCAGAAACTGTGTCTCCCCAAAACTAAGTGGCCAACGGCCTGGCACAGACAGGTAGGAGCTGAGCAAATCTAAGGGATATGTATAAATTACATCCAATACAACAGCAAAAGCTAAACATATGAGAATTCTAGATTATGCACTCTGACAAGTTATTTGTACCACTGTCTTTCACTGTTATAAACATTAAGTCAAACACTTGTTACTTGAAGTTTTCAGAAAATAAGCCATTTTCAAATCCATTTCCCAGCAGACTGATAATTTATACTTTAACATTTCTATTCTAACAGTTTTATGGTGGGAAAAATATATCATAGCTCCCTGCCTTCTTAACTATGCTACAGATGGGAGGGAAAGCATATTAATTATTGAGCACCTAGTATAATGAATCATTCACATGCATTCTCTCAGATTCCTCCGCACTCCGACAGGTATTATTAACATTCCCATTTTATAAACAACACTGAAACATACAAGGGTTGAATAGCTTGCCCAAACAACGAACAAGAGGCAATGCCGAGATTTAAGCCCTAGTCCTATTCCCTACTCTTTTTATTAACCACACTCTTCATTCTGCCACTGGTTCTCTTCTTCACATTTATTAAGTAGCTACTATATGTATCTGGCAATGAGCTAGAGAAACAAAGATAAATTCCCTTATGCTAATGGAGATCAAAATTTAATGAGCACTAATTTTAATTACTGCCATTTTCTCTTCTTTTTTCTTTATCATTTTACACCCATACATGTTCTCAGCACTCTTTGGAAAATTCTTGCCATTTATCTACATTATCTCAGTAACCTATCGATAAAAGTGAAATGATATTTATCACTTTACTTTGTAATTGTCAGTAATTGAAGGGCTTTATCATTGTTCATTCACCTCCTAAAAGACATTTCTTCAGTAGAATTTCTTTTTTCCTTTCTGCTTCTTCCATTATGAGCATTTTCAAATACTAAAGAATGTCAATACACTGGTCACTGGAGAATCAGACTGAAGAATTGCAGATCCACCCCTTCCCTTAAGAATGAGCTTGCTTTATGAAAGCCAAAGGTTTTTAAACATATGAGAAAGAAACCTCTTATTTCAACAGGCATATATCCTTTTGATGAGTCTATATCCAATATAAATAAGGCACCTAAATCAACCGAAACAATACTGAACAAGAATATATTAAAATGAGAAAAAGAGTAATATTAAAAAATTTATGCAATTAAAAAAATAAAAAATCTAAATACCTCAGAAATTATTTCAAAAGAGATTGTTATCGTCTTCTTGTTACAAACAGCCCAAATAAGATATGAACCTCTTATAATTAGTGAAAATTAAACTACATAATACTTGTAATGAATTTTCCCCTCCTTTCAAAATTAAACTGTGCTCTTTCATATAAAATAATACAAGTAAAAGGCACACTATTTCATGCTAGTAAACCATATTTACTCAGAATAATGTGAAATATACAACTTAAGACATAAACTTTGTCCCTCTAGAATTACAGGAGCTTTTCTTTATTTACATACCTTGCTCACAGACTTTAAAATAAGTGTATTAATAGATTACTAATGCAACAAAAAGAAACAGTGAACATCAACATTAAATCCAATGAACTTTTTAATATGTATGTAATTTGAGAGACCAGTGAGTAAAACCACTTATTTTGCCCAAACTCAATGAACACTCCTGCAATTTTACTTTAGCTGTGACAAAGAATAATCACTATACCTTAAACACAACTGCTCTACATAATGGTGCAAATGGTTAAACACTAGACTACTAACCAAAAGGCTGGTAGCTCGAAACCACCCAGAGGTGCCTTGAAAGAAAGGCCACAGCCTTAAAAACCTTATGCAGCAGTTCTACTTTGCACGAGGTCGTCATTTAGAATTGACCCAACAACATAATTAAAACAACTCCCTTTAGCCCCATCCTCCCTTGCTAAATGTCCAATAAAAATGTTTAGTCATGGATTTTTGCACTAAATTAAATTCAAATTGCTTAGTGTTGTTCAATACAACCACCCACTCAAATAATATGGATATATGGCAACTCAATCCTGTTATCATCAATTAATAACTGAGGACCACACACAATGTGGACAAACTAATGTCTATACTATCATATGCATGTTTTCATAGCAGGTGGATGCACATAAAAAGCTAACTTTATTCACTTTAAAAGCTAACGAGTATTTTTAAAAAATATGGAAGGAAAGGATAGCTGCGAAGAATTTTCCTTTTTATATTCAGCTAAAAAAATTTTATTCTTCAAAACTAACCTTTTAAAATCATTTAGCCTGCAAAAATTCAATTTTATAATTGCAATAATTTACCACCACTTGGTGGCGTAGTGCTCAAGAGCTACGCCTGCTAATCAAAAGATTGGCAGTTCAAAACTACCAGGCGTGCCTTGGAAACTCTATGGGGCAGTTCTCTGTACTATAGGGTCGCTATGAGTCAGAACTGACTCAGCCACAACAGGTTTTTTTAACAGGAATAAAGAAAACATATTAAAGAGATTCTCATTTCTTCAGTGATTGTTTTAGAACTGTGAAAATGTATGGAAAAGGATGAACAGATATGGGCTCCACAGTCCAAAAGAAATGAATTGCTGAATCTGTCAACCTGATACTTCCTAAAATCACTATATTCCTTTGATGTAACTAAATTGAATATAAAATCTGCAAGCTAATAGTAGGTAATCCCCAAAACAGAGCACTCTGGTAGTCATAGCAGATTTATGAATATCTGTTCCTATAGACAAGTATCTAAAAGATCAGAAAAACACTGATATGAACATAAAATAAAAAACTGAAAGGACAGAAGACACATTCTAAAGAATACAATCCAGTAAATGAGAGAGAATGAAGGCATACTAAGAAAGTAATATTCCCTAGAATGTCTCATCTGAGGCTTAGAAAATGATATAAAAAAACAGACACATTTAAGTCATCTTATACAAAAACAAAAAAAAAATGCTTGCTTACAGAGTTTAAAGGGCTTTTTATCATTTAGCTTTAAAATTTTTTTAAAAAACAACAGAAATAAGAAAAAATATAATTTTCTTCCAATTCTGAATATTCAGTAAAGAACCTCAATTTCTTCTAATTTTTTTCTTAAACTAAAAAAAAAACCCAGATAACACTAGTGTGGTACAGAGTTCACTGTAGATTCCATGCCATTTTCTTTATCCTGATTTTCTTCTTCATGGGCTGAATCTAGTTCATTTCTGCTATATTCCTCCTCACTGGAATCACTGTCCAATCCATCTTCAACACTGGCTGATTTCTTGTCATGCGAAGAACTTTCACAGGCTTTGTCTGTGGGAACAGCTCCTTTACGTTGGGGTAAGATAGTAAAAAATGCCTCTTGCCAGTCTCTTGTTTCCAGGTATTCCAGAATAATCTCAAACACTGTAATAAAGACAAACTCCATACATTTCTTAGCGAAATTCACCACAATGTTGCATACTGTCTTTTAAAATCCATGACCTTTGTGTTAGGAGTGCTAGTAGGTCTTAACAACTACTTTTATCTTTTCCTTCTCCTATACACTGTCAGGGACAATTTGTCCCAAGGCCCTGAAGCCTGTGCCCTCCCCTCTAGCTTTTCCTCAGTCCAGTTCTTAAGCATTTAAGCTTATCATCATCCCTGTCAACTACAATCAACAGACAGAGGACCTTTCTAGTTTCCTTCCCATTGTTCTTTATCCCTTTCACATGTGCTAACATAAAACAAGGGGGAAAAAATGGCTAGCATTAATCTAAATTTCTTCTATTTTTCCTATAAAGAGCCATTTACTCTGGGAAGCCTCTTGCCAGTTTTTTTTTTTTTTTAACATTAGGAGTAAAGAATATTAAAACTGTCTCCAAAGTACCCTCACCTTAATACACTGCTGAAGGTTTAATTTGGATTGCTTTGTGGAAAAGTAATTTCCACTATATATCAAAGGTCTTATAAGAAGTTCATTCCCTGGATCGACAACTTCACTTCTAGGGCCTGCTATGTAGAAAGTGTTTATCATATAATAAATAGTTGTACACTGACGAACATCTCTCTCAAATTAAAAAAAAAAAACTCCAGACAAAGACTTAGGTGCAAGGATGCCTACTAACAATAGCAAAAAGAAAAAAATCAAATATTCAATAATAGGAAAACGGTTAAATTACTGTATATTCAGATGACAGAATAAATAGCCATTAACAATCATTCAGTGACATGGAAAAATATGATAAATGCAAAAAAACCATAATTATAAAACTGTATGAAAACAGAGTAAGGATCCAATTATGTAATAAGCAATATTATATCTGCACATAAAAACCGAAAGGAAACATACCAAAAAGTTAACACCAAGTATCTCAGAATAGTGAGATTATAGCCTGTTCATTTTTCTTTATACTTTTCTGCATCTTCGAAATTTTCTAATAAGCAAGTACTATTTCTCTAATTTACACAAATTATGACTTTTTTTTTTTTACAATTTTGTCTCCAGCAAGGTGTAAGACTTTCCACTGTCTGCAACTTAAATGTAGTGTTCTTTTTCACAATGTCCATTCAGGTATATTATATTTTCAATGTACCCTTTTATAGCTTACCATGATTAACTGCCAAAACTTTTCGACTATTCATCTTCACAAAATTTCCAAGGGGGAGCTGTGCATGTTCAATTCCATAATCTGATGCTTGTTTATACGTGATTCCCTAAAACAAAGATACTGTGACTTGAACTAGAACAGTAATTATTTTGTAAGGTCTATGACAGTATAAATAATCTTTGAAATAACTTTACTTCAGAGAATATTCTCTAGAGCTCTGAGCATGTGTGTGTGTACGTGTTTAACTGCTAATTTGGCAACATTCTCCTGACAATAAGTATAGTCAGACATTTGGGGCAATTGGTGTAACCTCCTGAATAGCAGCATCATCTTTTCTCAATACAGACAATGTTTTAAGCATGTGGACTCTGGAGCAGTCTGCCTGGTTTCAAATCCCTGCTTTGCCACCTACTACTACTGACTTTAGACTTAATTCTCTGTGCCTCAGGCTCCTCATTTGTAAAATGGTGATAATGGCACAGACCTCGCTGGGTTTTAGTGAGGATTAAGCAAACTAATACAGGTGAAGCGCTTCACTTACAAAGGTAACTAATATATAGCAGGTGCTCAACAAAGATCAGCTATCATTAGTATTATGATGACTTGAGAAACTCTGATATGAACTTTACGTACAAGCAAAAGCAAAAATAAAAGCTTAAAAGCACCTTGTGATGATTGTGATCTACCAATCCTCCAATCACATAGGCCTTTGATTCATCTAATTCCTGCAATACATTGGGTGAATCTGACGTAAGATAAATCAGGTCTTCTTTCTTTATGAGTTCACTATAGTGCTCTGGCTTGATGTGGATATCCTTTAAGACACAAGAGGAAATACATTACTAATTAATAGGGTTTTGTGAAAGTAATTATTCTCTTTTCCCAAGAAAAACACAGCCAAAAACATACGAAATGAAATCTGAAAGACCGTTACTATGTGTCATTTAGAATCTACTACTTATCTAACTGAATCCTTACCATCTAACTTTTCAATTATTGAAAACCAAAACCTGTTGCCATCGAGACGATTCTGACTCATAGCCAGCCTAGAGGACAGGGTAAAACTGCCCCATAGGGTTTCCAAGGGGCGGCTGGTGGACCGAAAGAGCCTTCTAATTTTATTTTCCCATCTCTGGCCTTAGACCTGTTCAATCAACTTCCACATACTGATGGAAGACTCACTTTCTAAAAACACTACTTCCAATGTTTTAACTTTACCTGTAAGATAAAATCCAAACTCCTAAATTAGTAACTGTTTCCTAAATATGGCATTAACCTACCTGAGCAACTTAACGTCTCAGAGCTCTAATTCTTCAAACAAAACAAATGCATTTTTACTGCCACATATTTGCTCACCCTGTTATCCAGCAAAGAAAGCCATCTCCAATTACTTCCTCTCCACCTAGTCATTTAAAGCCCAGTTCCAGTTACATGAGTCAGCAGAAGGAAAGACTTAAAATAAATTCCATGTATCTGTTTCTACGAAGATACATATTAGAAAACTTCTTCCACCAAAACTGTCAGGCCAGAGGCACAAGTCAGGATTTTACAAAACATACTGATATAGCACCAGGTTCAGATGACATTTACCCAATAATTCTGAAGAAAACCAAGAATGAAGGAGGAGAACTCTCACCTAAAATATATAAGCTATTGATTCATAAACAGTCATATTTCTCAAAAATAGTATATTACAAATTGGACACCTATACTTAGTAAGGGCCCAAAGAAGGCTCCGAGTAATACAGGGCAGTGAATCTCATGTCTCTGAGGCAAGCTAGTCATATAAATAACGAATTTAACAAGCCACAGAATTACTGAGAGTATGTCTTACTCTAACATTATATTATTTCTTGAGAAAATAGACACAAAGAAAAAACCCGGTAAATATACTTAGAAACTTAAATAGCCTTTGAAAATGTTTCATACTATAGGCTATTAATAAAATAAATGCAGTCATTACAGGATTGGCGAGTATGGGAAAGAAAGTTTGTCACTGTAAGAACTGGCAAAGAGAAAAAAAAAAGTATAGGAATAACCCAGTACGTCTGTGAATAGGACAGAGTTCTTTAAGGAGTGAAGAACTAATAAGCCAATCTTACTAGTCATCTTTACCAATGACTGAGAACAGCACAGCCTAACAGAAAGAAAACGTGAGCCACATGTTATTTTAAATTTTCTAGTGGCCATGTTAAAAAAAAAAAAAGGACAAGAAAAGGTGAAATTCATTTTAATAATATATTTTATTTAACAAAAATACAGAAAAAATGTATTTCAACATATATATTTTTAAAAACTATGAAGGAGACATTCCTTTTTTTTTTTGGTACTAAATATTTTCACATTTACAACACTTTTCAATTGAGAGTAGTCACATTTCAAGAGCTCAATTACCACATGTGGCTAGTGGCCGCCATGTTGGGCTGCGCAGATTTAGAAGAAACAGAATGCAGGCATACTTCTCAATTTTACAGGAGCTTACTCTTACAGAAAGTATAGCCAGTTTGCTAGGAAGAGACTGTATACAGACCTTTAAAATTTTTCCATTTTTTAATGTTTTACAGCTGGCAGTAAAATGGCAGGTGAGATTTAATAAGAGCAAGTACAAAAAAAAAAAAACAAACAGACTTATCATTCTCTTCTTTAGCTTCTCCCATGTATAACCTTAGACTTATATACCCGTGACACACAGGGCTTGGAGACTGCTCACTCCTACATTCAACAGCATCATGTAGAATTTAGGCAAAAATGCACACCTTTATAAGCATAACAACAATTGGAATGAGGCAACAGTTAATCTGTTTTAATTACCTTCCAGTTGACCCATCCTTTGTCATTTTCGTCCATGTTTTTTTTTAGCTGGCCTCCATGGCTTGTCAAGTAAAACTGATAATCGGTTGGTAGGCACAGATGGAAAGAGAGCAAAATGACTAGTTAAGTCCAATATTTTATTTTCCTAATACAGTCATGTGCTCATCAATGAAACACAAAATATACGGATTCTCATTGATCTAGAAAAAAATAAATTTGCAACATGCTTTGTGCATGTGAGAATAAATTTGCAACATTCTTTGATCAATACAAGAATACATATGTGATAGAAACTGTAGTCTGTTTTAAACTCTGGAGACATACCTGCACAGGATGCAAGGCTCGTCGGTTTTCTGCATAACATCGTTGAATCTGCTTATGAAGTTTCTTAATGTCCTACAGAAGAGTGCATTTCATGTATAAAGCAGTTATCAAAGTCATCTATGGCCATTCCACAATCTTGTGGAACTGAATAAGCAGAAGGAGTGACTAGATATATACAATCATTTTGAAATACAAGTCCACCCTCGTAATTTTCATTCAATTTCCTTACATACTAACAAAATAATTGCCAGAATACGTAAAGTTAATACTCTGTAAAACCAGCTGCCATCAAGTCAATTTCAACTCATGACAACCATACGTGTGTCAAAGTAGAATCATATTCCATAGGTTTTCAATGGCTGATTTTATGGAAGTAGACTGCCAGCCTTTCCTCCAAGGTGCCTCTGGGTGACTGTATATATATATATATATATATACACACACACACATATACATATACACATATAAACATATATACAAGACAATTTATAAGCTAATTTAATTTTAGGGAAGCTCAGATTTTTAAAAACTTGATTTCAGATGCACTTTAGTACATTAATTTAAAGCAAAGTGATATTACGTATTAAGGCAATGATTCAGCCCAGTTCACCTATAAAATTTTTCTGACAATGATTCATAATACCTTCAATACCATCAAGTCGTCAAAACTACAGTCAACAATAAGGCGGAGTGTGCTGTGAACAACATCTCTCCGAATACGTTTTCTGTCATTTCCATCAGAGTTTGATTCCAGTTGACATTGCCGCTCTAATTTTTTTCTCTTGCGTTTTTCTTTTCGCTTTTGTCTAAAATTAGTAATTGAAATAACTTTGTTGTCATTTGTATATTCAGATTTTCACAAGACTCTTCTAAATAGACAAAGAAACAATTACTTTTTAAAATCATTAGGTTGAACCATATGAAATTTCCATATTCGTGGGTCAAAAATGGTTGAATATCAGCAATTTTACAGGCCCATCTAAGAGTTTTAGACGGGAAAGAAATGAGTTTACAAAAACAATCTAAAGCTTTCTATCCAAATACTAACTACACTACTCAACAGTTTAGTTTATTCTTGGTATCACACAACATATTCTAAGAAAAATTAATAAATACTTAATTTGGGAGTTATTATTCTACTTTCATCATTCTTCCTCTACATGATTTTCCTGCAATGTTTACAGTATAGAAAAAAAGCAACATAAAATTGAGGGTTAAAAATAAAATATCATATACTTTTTCTCTAGTCTCTATCAACTTTGGCTTACTTTCTCCCAGTAAATTTATAAAATAACATTATAAAATATTATAAAATTACAGCTTCAGCCAAACTGCTCAACAAAGCTTACGACGCTTCTGGCAAAATCGACCTTAGGCCAAAATCTAATCTTCGTGAGTTGGTTATTTTTGTTCTATACCAAAAACATGGATACTAAGTATATCCCTTATCTAAATAGGTTGTTTCAAAAACTGTGCTACTATTTATAATAGGTTCTGGGTAAGAAAAAATGTTCAATGCAAATTCAATACTGCTAAACACAGCAGTAATTCAAAGGCATACAGTTTAACAGCCAAGTGACAGTGTTAGCTAGCAATGTGCATAGCCCCAATTTTAACAAAAGTATTCTTAGTGTACCAAAGGGCTTAGGCAGGGTCCAATATTCTATGTTTCTGGATGGGGTAGAGTATATGCATTTTGAAACACATACTTGCGAAGTTCTCGTTGTTCTTCCCATTGTTTCTGTTTTATTAGCTTCTTCATCTGTCTTTTAGATATGGGTTCAGACCCTTCACCTGACTTTGGCTTCTGGCTCTGCTCTTGATCTTCACTTAAGTTTTGCTTTCTTTCAACATTAGAAGTCTCAATAAAGGCTGGCAACATTTCAGATGACATAATTTCGTACTTCTGAAAAACTGAAAAGCAATTTTTGACATAAACAGGTAATTCACAAAAAAAGTAAAATAAAAATGACAAATAGATGCAACAAATTAAGCCATATTAATAATAAATAAAATGCAGATTTAGACAATTAAATGTCATTTATTGGTAAAGATCACCTAGATATCATTTAGTGTCAATTAAGTATCATTTATTAGCAAGTTGGTAAAGGTCTGGAGAAACGGGTGTTTTCATATACTACTGGAGGTCATGGAAAAGTTTTCCAGAAAGCAACACAGGAAAATGTTTATACTCTTATTTCCTTAGGATAAATTCTTATAAACGTACACAAAAATAATGCACAAGGGTATATGCACTGAAGTGTTATTCTGAACAGTAAAAAATCAGAAACTACTTGAATGTCAGCAAACAGGGACTAAATAAATTACAGTTCATCTATAATATGGACCAGGAATGAACGCTAAGCAGCTAGTAAGAACCAGGTGTCCCAAAAACATTTAGTGATAAGGAAAACAGTTATCTTCATGGTTATTATGAATCATTGTCAGAAAAATTTTATAGGTGAACTGGGCTGAATCATTGCCTTAATATGTAATATCACTTTGCTTTAAATTAATGTACTAAAGTGCATCTGAAATCATTTTCAAGAATCTGAGCTTCCCTAAAATTAAATTAGCACCTTGGAGGAAAGCCCTGGCAATCTACTTCCATAAAAAATAAAAATACATACATTATGCCCAACTTTGTTTTAAAAAGAACACACACATATGCTTAATTACCTGTGGTTTTCTACATTTTCTAAATTCTATATAATGAAAATATATTGTTTTTGTGGAAAAAAAATGTTGAGATAAAAAGACAGAAAGTACCTTTTTTGGATTCTTTCTTCAATGCTGTAGAACTAGGAAAAAAAAGAATGCTTCTTTCATTATCTGGGTGTATACTCTTAACAGGTTTTTGCTAAAGATTTATAAACTTTGGACAGTGCAGACAGTATATTTGGATGCCCTTCTAATATAGTTAATTGTAAATATGTAACTGTAAAAATTTCACTTTTGTCATGGCTAAAAACAAAACACAGAAGTCAGTCATGTAATCAGTCTGGCCTCTTAGAATGCTATGGTCTTCTCAAACATATCTTTATTTGGATTTAATCACACACATCTACCTACTGACTAGAACTGAACTTACCTTCAGAATTAATGCCTAGGAATACTGAGATTTCTTTTCCCTTTGATAAATTATTAAGAACAAAGCTTAAAAATGTATGTTTATCCCTACTAAATACTAAGCGTGGGCTTGCAAATGTTCTACTGGCCTCAGGGAAAATTCTACAATCCTTCTTACAGAGATAGCTAACAAGTCTGTACAGAGATGCTAAGGTCTAAAATAAAGTAAAATAAAACCCACAATTCAGATACTGGAACTACAAAACATTTGCAGAACACAGTTTAAGCAATAGTTACCGTTGTATGGTTCTTGCTTTCTTTAAGCGGGATGTTATAATAGGACACATAAGATAACTAAAAGAAACAACAAATCTGTCTTGGAAGAAGTACAGCCAGAATGTTCCTTAGAAGCAAGTATGGTGAGACTTCATCTCATGTACTTTGGACATGTTATCAGGAGGGACAAGTCCCTGGAGAAGGACATTATGCTTGGTAAATAGAGGATCATCGAAAAAGAGGAAGGCCCTCAGCGAGATGGACTGACACAGTGGCTGCAACAATGGGCTCAAGTATAATGACTCTGAGGATGGCACACGACAGGGTACTGTTTCTGTCGTACATACGGTCGCTATGAGTCGGAACTGACTCAATAGCACTTAACAACAACAAGTAAACTTAGAAAGTTTACCAAATTTTGCCTGAGAGACCAAAATTTTAATGAGCTGTGTGCTTTAGGGGCTACAGCAAAGGCCCTGGTATTTTACTAGGTCAATAACTTAGAAGAGGGGAACATAATCATCTAGTAACTTGAGTAAGAGTTTACCAGCTTTCCTTATTCCCGTAACTAAACAGTATCCTCAGTCTTACTTGTACCAAACAGTATCCTCAGAACATCTAGAAGTTACAACTCGGATTTGATCCTATACCGTAAACCCAATGTGGGTAGGGATGACGTGTGTTTTTGGTCAACATTATATTACCAGTACCAGTATGGTGCCTGTCATGTAGTAGGTGTGTCTTATATATTGGTGGAATAAACAAACGAATGAACAGAACATTACAAAGGATTAAAAATGTAGTAAAATAATGTTGTTATGTGTCATCCAGCCAGCTCCTACTCATAGCATCCCTATAGGACAAAACAGAACTGATCCATAGGGTTTCCAAGGCTATAAATCTTTTTTTTTTTTTAATTGTGCTTTAGATGAAGGTTTACAGAGCAAATTGCCAACCCCACGATGTGTCAACACTCTCCCCTTCTCGACCTTGGGTTCCCCAATACCAGCTTTTCTGTCCCCTCCTTGTCCCTGCCCCTGGGCTGGTGTGCTCCTTTAGTCTTGTTTTGTCTTATGGGCCTGTCTAATCTTTGGCTGAAGGGTGAACCTCAGGAGTGACTTCAGTACTCAGTTTAAAAGTGTGTCAGGGGGGCCATACTCTTGGAGTTTCTCCAGTCTCTGTCAAACTAGTAAGTCTGGTTGTTTTTTCTGAGTTAGAATTTTGTTCTACATTTTTCTCCAGCTCTGTCCAGGGCCCTCTACTGTGATCCGTGTCAGAGCAGTCGGTGGTGGTAGCCAGGCACCGTCTAGTTGTGCTGTACTCGGTCTGTAGAAACTATGGTAGTTGTGGTCCATTTGTCCCTTGGACTAATCTTTCCTTTGTGTTTTGGTTTTCTTCATTCTCCCTTGCTTCAGATGGGGTAGGACCAGTAGAGAATCTTAGACGGCTGCTCACAAGCTTTTAAGACCCCAGATGCTACTCACCAAAGTAGGATATAGAACATT